CCTCAATAATCTGGAGAGGTCTCTAACTGCAGACTTTCCCAGAGCAGTATGTCTCCTGATTTCTTACTGCTGTTACCAAGGGGGTTGATTGTGGATTCAAGTAAAATGAAATTGTTGACAGATTCAATATTTTCTCTGTCTATCATGATGTTGCCGATCATTCCAGTGGTAAGAATTTTTGTTTTCTTGATGTAGAGATGCAATCAATATTGAAGGCTGTATTCTTTGATCTTACACAACAAGTGCTTCAAGTCCTGTTATGCCATCTGCATAAACTTGATGGTACACAAAAACAATAAAAGAGAGTAAAGCTGATATTTAGTATTCTAAAAGCTAAGCACATGTTTATAGACTAATTCTTCTACACACAGAATTGATAGTTTAAATGAACACTGTTTAATACTTATTCTCAGAAGATAAGAACTTTCAGGGCTTTAACACCTCCATGCAAATGTTATAATGCTGCATGTTATATGAGCTGCCAACTATGTTTTATGCCATTGTTGTTAAATTTTACTTGTTTTTCCTTCTTTAATTTTCTACAATTATTATCAGCTGCAAAAGGACTACTCTACAACACAGAAAGATGTATTTGTTTTATTAGCAATTGTTGTCAGGTGCCACTGCATCATAGACGACTCTTAGAAACCCTATGAATGAAAGACCTAAGCACTATTTTATAGAGTTTCCAGAGGCAAGCCATTTCAGAAGTAGATTTCACTCCTGCTTCCAAGCTTGTTTTAATTGGGAAGCTCCACCAACCACTGTCCAAGATGGGTAACCATTATCACATTTGGCACATTTGTGTCACAGTGTTCAGCATCACAGCAAACAAGAGTTACTTCTGTACAGCAATGCACAAACCAGTGCTATACCACCTAGAAGCATGTTTGACCAAAAAAAAAAAAAAAAACCAAACCAACAATTTGAAGCTTTCAGAGATTTAAGACACCGCCTGCCTTAAACCCTAGGCCAACCCTCAAGGACTTCACTCTTGAGGGGGAAGAGTAGTACTGCACATCAAACAAAAGCCCCCAAAAGCACACAATCCCAAAAACTTGCAACCCCAAAAACTTGCGATTACTTGCACGTGCAGGCTGCCATGCACAGGTAACAAGAAGCCACTGAGACACAGAGTGGAGTCATCCAGGAACAACCTGGCCGCCTTCTCCTCCCCTGCCCTTTGGGGATTTAAGCCACTGCCTGCCTTAGTTTGGCTTATAAATACTTTATTAGACTTAAAACTTAAGTTTTTCCTCTGTGTACTATAGATACTCATATGTGTTCTTTAATACTTAGAGTTTTAAATTTAATCAAGCATTAATTCATCTTTTAGGAATTCTATACCAAAGAAAGAAAATTAATTCTTAGTAATATTTAATTCAACTATTTGAGGATTTATTCAAATAATCTTTCCATATTTCACCCCCTTCAGAAGAAATAAGAGGCTAATTCTATAAACCCTTTAATATAATCTGCTCATGACCAATGAAAATCCATGCACTCTCAACAGCAAATACTTTATCAACCAGTCTTTCTTTTCTATTCTAAGGAAGTTATAACAAATCAAGAATTATTCTTCACTGCATTTTCATCTACCACTCCATTTCCCTTCTAATTCCTCTCCTCCCTCTTTCCACACACAGATGCAGTCATTTACCTGATTGGAATGTGTAACAATTAATGTCCTCTGCTCTGGAAAATTGTGGTAGATGTTAGATATGATTTGAACTGCTACATCAGTTTTTCCTGTACCAGGTGGGCCCACCACCTAAAAAGGAGATAAAAACATTCAAACTACTAAGTTATCAAAATTTTTAGGAAATGGAAGCTTTAAAAATGAAAGATAAAATAACAAAATTAAGAAAGTAATTGGATGGGCTCAATAACAGAATGGCCAAATTTATAAACTTGAAGATAAATCAACAGCAATTACTCAACTTGAATAGAAGAGAGGAAAAAATTGGGAGAAAACAAAACAATATTATGAATCTACAGGACAATATATAAAGTGTTAATTAACATTTATGCTATTGAAGTATCAAAAGGAGAGGTAAATGATTATGTAGTAAAAAAAAAAAACAAAACCTAATGAGAGTGGCTACAAACTTCTCAAATCTGGAAAAAAATTAATGAACAAAGTCAAGAAGATTGGAGAACTTCAGAAAGAGTAACTCCAGAGAAATCCAAATTCAGATACACAATAATTAAATGGCTAAAAAACTTGAGAAAAATCTTGAGAGCAATTAGGGGAAAAAGACAAGTAACAAACATAAAGCAAAAGAATTTTTCAAAGAAACAGATTTTTCAACAAAAACAAATGGAAACCAGAAGAAAGTAGACATTTTAGAAGTAATAAAAGAAAAGAACTGTTGAACCAGAAATATACATCCAGTGAAGTATCTTTTAGGGATGATTATGAATTACAGACACTTATTTTTAGATGAAGTAAAACTAAGATAATTCATCATTGCCAGAACAGTTTTAAGGCAGAACAATTTTAAGCAAAGTGATTAAGTTAGTTCTTCAAATGGGGGCAGGGGGGAAGCTATCAGGAAAAGTTGGCTATCAGGAATGGAGAAAGAGCAAGAGAAATGCCAAATATTAAAGTTAAAAAAACCGAGTAAGATCATTCTTTTTCTTTAAAGCAAAAATTCATTCATTCTTTAAAGCAAAAATTCTAAAACGGTGTTTTCAACATACATAAATGTGAATATATATGTTGGTGGTGGTTCTGTGCACCACGAATTCAGAACCAACTCATAGCTAATCCTCCAGCGGGCTTCTGGAAGCAGTTAATCACCTAGGAAGAGACTGCCTATCTTTCTTCCACTGAGAAGCCAGTGGGTGGATTAGAACCTTGTGCCTTTGGATGGGCACTCCTTACCATTATGCCACCAGAGCACCATCTCTCTCTCTCTTTCTCTGTGTGTTTTTTGAGTATACAGATTAAGGCACAGAAACAATTACAGCCTAAAAGAGGATGGAAATAAGGATATTCTATTTAACTGGAAATGATAAAATATTGATTCTAAGTAGACAGTGAAAAGGTAATTATGCATTTTTAATTCCCCAGACCAATCATTCATAAAATATGTGTATGTGTGTATATCTATTAAAAAAACCCCAAAATTTAAAAAAAAAAAAATCAATCCACAATAGACAAAGTAGAACGTTAAACAGTTCAAATAAATAAAAGTAGCAAGGAAAGAGACATGGGGGAAAAAAGGAATAATATGATAATTATAACAACACTCGAGATCTAAATCTAAAGATATAAAAATATCATTAACTGCAAATGGTCTCAATATAATACTTCAAAGCTTTTCATAATGGATAAAATAATCTGATCCAAATATATGTCTGAAAAAAACTCACGTCAAACATAAGTTAGTCAAAAGTAAAAGGACAGAAATGTAAAGATCATGCAAACACTCAAAGCAAGCTTGGCTGGCTATTTATGTTAACAGCAGGCAAAGTACCAGGCAAAGTTAAAGTCAATACATTTTGATAAAAGGGGTCAATTCATTAGAAAGACACGGAAATTCTGAATGTGAATGCACCTAACCACAAAACTTAAAAATACATGAAGTAAAATCTAATAGAACAGAGAGGAAAAAGAAATAAAACAATTATAATTCAAGATATAAATATTCCTCTCGCAGTACTTAACAAAAATCACAGAAAATCAACAAGCACAAAGTATTGATCAAAACTATCCACTAAATGGTTCTAAATGACATTTTAAGAGCACCAAACAGCAGCAGAATCCAAGTGCACACAAAACTTTCATCAAGAGTGATCTTATCCTAGGACATAAAACAAATCGTAGTGGAAACAACCCAAGTGCCCATCAACAAATGAATGGACAGAGAAGCTGTGGTATATATTCACACAATGGAATACTACGCTGCATTGAAAAACAAGGAACTCATGCAATATTATTCAAAATGGGTGATTATGGAGGACATTATGCTGAGTGAAATATCTCAGTCACAAAAGGACAAACACTGCATGGTGCCACTGTTGTAGAACGGAACTGACATCAGGGTTAGGGTAAGACTGAGAAAAAATGGATAAATTATGTATACTGCATTGAAACAGATGATGGAGAGAATAATTTTAAAGTGATATATGATAGGGTATTATAGTTATCACAAGAGTCCAGAATGAAGGTTGTGTAGTGGAGTGTACTTGGGGCGGGGGGGCTGTATACCAAAGAAGGAATCTTTCTTTTGCTTTTCTTTTTTTTTTTGGTGACCCCGACGTGATTTGAATCTTTTGCTTTTCAAAGAGAGGAGCGAACTGGGTGGGGGGGGAGGGCTGGGCAGGGAGAAAAGTGCAACAATGAATGAATGGAAATCCAAAATCTCTGTAAATGTTCATTAAATCTAATAAAATAACATTAAAAAATCATAGTTAATACAAAACTTAAATTACACACAAGGTATGTTTTCTGACCATGGTGTACTTATACTGGCAATCAGAAACTTGAAATGGGTAACCTGCAAATCCTTAGACATCAAATTCTTCTAAACTAGTGGTTAACAGATTTTCTGTGAAGGTTAAACAGCAAATTCTTTAGGCTTTGTGGGCCACGCCAAGCAATTCATTTTTTTTTTAAAGTAGTCATAAAAACAACAGTATAAAAACAAGTATCAACAGTATAAAAACAAGTATGATAAACTCCTAAGAGCAATCAGCCATACAAGAGCAAAAAAGACAGCATGTGCTCAGGGATAAAACACAGAGGACATGGATTGGAAAGAAGGACAAACAGAAACAGAAAATACAGGGAGGAAGTGGGTGGGAGGAGTGTTGTTAAAATCTGAGCATTATCATCAACATTGCCAAACACAATGTACATGAAATGCCGAATAGAAAACCAATTTGCTGTGTATTTTCACTCAAATTACAATCAAAAATGCCAAACCAAAATCAAATGAGCATAGATAGCTGTGTGTTCCAATAAAATTTATGAACACTGAAATAAGTAGCAAGATTTCTACATATACAAAACATCGTAATTTCTTATAAACACTTCTACTTCACTTTTTTTTATCTGAAAGACAAAAAACCTTCTTAAAAAGTTGGTGCTTACTTCTAGTATGAATAAGTTTAATAGCATATAAAACAGTGATTTTTCTCACCATAGTCAGCCCAGGCTGCATACCAGCACGGATAGCCTCTATTTGTGTATGAGTAAACTGAATTGTATTACTGCAAACAAGAGTACGTAAAATTTTAGTTAAAAAAATAAAAAATACATAGAACATTTAGTAAATATTCAATTAACAATGATCAGCAATCTAATCATCAGCCCTGTATTTACTCTGGTTCTCCCAAGAGCTTCTATATAACTTCCATCTCCCTTTCCCCTCCATGAATCAACTAGAATGAATAAATTTTGTGTAGAGAAAGACCGCAGTAATTCTTCATGACATTTGCCCCACCTCAGACATTATATGGAGTGCAAAAGATCTGGTTCCCACTCTAGTATCAAGAACAATGGCATTTTATTAGCTGTGGCACACATGCAAAGTGCTGCTGGCTGTACTCTACACAGGGTCTTGAAGTGCTCAAATTAAAAGACATTCTCAAATATGTCTTTCTTATAGTACCTGAAAACACTTCTTTTTGAAATATCATTACAAAAGAAAGGCTAAAAATATCAAAGATATATAGTTAACTAACAGGGCAAATGGAAACAGGATACAGAAACAAACTTCCTGGAATTTTCAAAGAATCAGAAAACTAAAGTATTATTAATTGATTTTTAAACAACACAATTTTACTGATAAAGTCAGGTAGTAAATTACCGTTTGGGTTGGTTATAAGGATAAGGTCCCCTGTTAGGAATCACATGAGGTTCAACAATTAAGGTTTTAGTCTCTTCAGTGTCTTCATCTTCGCCATCTGCAAATTTCCTTTTTTTCCCTTTTCCACTTCTTACTGGGAAAGTTATCCTACAAAACCAAATGCATTGCTCATTTAGTTTATTAACAACCAATTACTGAGCATATGTTTTGTATATGACACTGTATATGAAAGAAGATAATCAGATGAGTAAGATGCCCCGTGTCCTGAAAGACTTCATTAACAGCATAAACTTTGAAAAAAGCAGATTTACAAGCACTGAGATGAGATACAAATTGAATGCTAAAAGTGTTCAGATAATAAAAAAGTGTTCCCATAATAAAAAGTCATCTGATTAAACAAGACTAAAAAAGGAACATTTAAATGTTTTATGTCACATGTACTGCAAAGTACTTTGTCCAATGTCCTTCACTGATTCACAGAAGGCTTCAGGAGAAAGGTAACCTGTAAAATAAGCCTAGAAGAATTTAGACATACAAAGATACGAACGGATGACACTCTAGGAAGAAAGTAAAGAGGCTCAAGTGTATGTTGTTTAGTTTATAGGAAACAAAACTCCAAAACCAAACATAATGCTGCTGAGTTAACTTCAGTTCACAGCATTCTTACAGAACAGAGAACTGCCACATCCTGTTTTTAAGACTGAAAATCTTTACCAAAGTAGGCTGCTTGCTGTATCTCTCTCTCATGGGGTGGTAAGGAGAATAGTACTGTCGATCATTTAGTTAGCAGCTGTTAACCATTGCTTTAATAGAACTTCTTTTTAAGAAACAGTAGAAAGAAGTAAGGATAAAAGGATTTGCTAGAGCCTTGCATTATATACACAGAATATCAAGCACACAAAGTAGTCAGAGTCATGAACACCTTACTAAGTGATTCCAGTTACCAGAAGTCAATACTTAAAAATATACTATTAATAACCTATGTGCAAATTTTAGTAATAATTTGTGTCTAGTTTTTCTAAAAGGATAAGCAATAAAAAAAAATTCTAAATCTCAAAAGGTCAGTCCATATTTTGTTAAGTAATAGGAACAACCGTATTTTTGTTAGGCAGTAAAATGTTTCTAGCAGTATGGCATATGATGGGTTTTGAAAAGAATGTAGGAAGCAAGGAAGGCACTGTCATTTTAAGAGCTCAGAGGTATGATCCAAAATATCATGTGATAAAGTCTTCCACAAGGCCAACTTTCTAAGACACAGGAGTTAAAGGAATAAAACAATTAGAAAACAGTATGGAAATTTCAAGATAGGCTGGCTTGCAGAAAGATTCAATCATCAATAAAATAAGGGGAACATTGAAGATTAGGTTTGGACATTATAAAGGACATAATTTTTTAATATGTAGAATTATTATACTTAACAGTCACTTGAAAACTGTGTTGTGTGTAAACTTCCAGCTAAGAACTAAGCTAGTTCTTGGTAGATATTCCGAGTAGTTTGCTACTAACTGATAGGAAGAAATTGAGGGAAAACAGTTTCCGGTTTCTACTCAAATTTTAAAATCAAAGCTCACTTAACATTAAATACAACTAGACTATAATCATTTAACCTGTGAAAGCAAGCAAAGTTTGGGGAGGGAAAAAAAACAAACAAAAAAAACCCCCATATTTTTCTCTTAAAAACAAAACAAAAAATTTCATTATCTCTCAGTCATGTGAACATGCAATGACATATTTCTTCAGTTAAGTGCTGTTATTTACAGAGGACTTTTCAGGAAATAAGTATTTACTGACCCAATGTTTTACTGTGGTCCTAAAATAGATTCTGAATCAAAAACTAAAAAAAGTAAAGTAAAAGAAAGAAATGTATTTCAACTCTATGGTAAGGACAAGGATTATCAAAACAAAATCTAGATACAATACCCAAAATTTCTTTAGCTAATGGTTTTACTGACATGGGACTCTTCAAAATGCTTAGAAAGAGTACATCCAGCTCTGACTTTACCTGAAAGGGGGTATCTGCAGTTCTGGGTCATCCACAGTTACTTTAACATTGTGACCAGGAAAGCTGGCTTTTAAATGTTCAATGGAGAGAAATGTATCATTGAAATCAAGGGTGGCAATCTGATTGGGCATTTTTGAATAATGTGCACTGCTTGGATCACCGTAACCTAAAATGATGTCATGCAGCCAGTCAGGTACCACACAATCAGTATTCATCAGGTTCCGAATAGTTTCCAGTACAGCCTGTCAATAGAAGGACAGAAAAGGACTGTGTCAATGAGACATCTCAAGCATTTGCACTTCACTGGAATGCAGAGCTGCCTGCACTAATCCAGCATTCCTAACGGTTTCAGGGCAAGAAGCTATTTTCTGCTGACAGGTGCTTGGCTAGACTGAATTAACAGCTATATTTGCAGCTGACACCATACAATGAGTTAAACAAAAGACCAAACTTAGCCGGAACAGTCTATCCATTATAAGTTCATTTACACCGAGTATTTTAGATGAGCTGACCCTTTCATTCCTTTGAGTAGGAGGATATTCCAATTAAGGCCTGTTTAACTATAAGAAAACATCATAGAACAAATCCCAATGTTAATGCTTCCTCTAGAAACTTCTACAGTCTCTCTCCCCTTTCTACAATCTGTCAATGCTAAGAACATAAAAACAAAACAAGCTCATCAATATATGCCTCATTTCTGAAATACATATCAACTTAGAAATATACAAACTAGCACTTACAAATAAAAAATAAAGTGAACAAATTATAAAAATGAAGGAAATGACAAATGTCAAATGAAAGAACTAAAGTCTCTACAAAAATTAACACAAACATTGTCAAAAGTCATTCTTGAATCCAAGTTTTAGACTGTTCAATCATTATTTCATCAAAGTGATCTATTCCATTATGAAAACCAGGAGGCTAGGCGATTAACTTCAAAGAATAAAATAGTTAAATCAACCATTTTTATATCATAAATGTTCTTTGATCCAACTTATAAAGTACACATTATTCATACTCTCAAGTACATAGTATAGTTTTGAAATTCATGTACCCTGGTTATCATCTCCCCGTTATCTAATCCTCACTAGGGAAGCTCTGTGGCAGAGTTCACAGAGAGTTGCAATGTTAATCCTAAGGAGACACATCTCTGGTTGTTAATCTTTAGCAGTGGCCATTATCCAGATGAGCTATCTGCACAGCTTCCTGAAAACCCGCTGGAGGGTCAGCTATGACTTGGTTCTGACTCAACGTCAATGAAGTTTTGTTTTGAAATTCCCACTGTTGTTGTTGTTGCTGAGTACTGATGAGTCGGAACTGACCCTTCTAGAGGGTTTCTAGAGGCAGTAGTTGACTGCATGGGAGGAGACTGCTCATCCTTCTCCCGTAGAGCAGTGGGAGAATTCCAACCATGTGCCTTTGGGATTGCAGTGCAGCTTGTTACCACTAGGCCACCAGAGCTTCCTGAAGTCCCCACTAGAATATCATTTTCATGAACACATGTGTGTAAGTGTAACATCAGTTTGCATAGACGAGTTTGTCAATGGACAGAAAAATGTGAAGGTTCACAGACTCAATGACAAAGAAGGTAAGTACCCTTTAGTGAACTTATAATTCTAGTAGGAAAATTAAATATGTCCTTAGCAACAATAAAAAGCAATAAAACATGGCAAATGTAAAAAAAAATTATAAAATTCAATGTAGCATTTGTGGTAGGTGAGAGAGAGGAATGCAGGGAATATCTTGGCAGGAAGAAAGACTTCAAGAATGATGAAAGCAATTTAATTTAGCTCAAGTTAAGGACTTGTAAAAGAGCTCTGATTTATCATTAATAGTCACAGAAAGTTTTGAGAAACAGAAAGACACTGTAAGAAAAACAGAGGATTCTAAAGGTAGAGAGAAACGAAACTACTGTAACTGTCAAGCAAGAAACAAAGGATCCCATTTAGAATAAGCTTTACCAACTAGGAAAAGGGGGAGGAGGATAAATGAGGAATGCTGTCCAGGTATACAGTGAAATACCAAAAATACCAAAGGATTCTTTTTCTCCTAAAAATGAAGTTTGGTTCTTATCCTCTCTTGGGTCAGATCTTGAGTGCCTCCTCTGAATTTCCAAGATACTCTAATCTGCACCTTTCTCATGGTGGAGGGCATTTTCTGTCTTTCATTTGTTATTTCATTAGATTTTTTAGTTATTTCATTAGTAGGGAACTTTAGTGCCTACTAATTTAGTGGTAACGAACTGTGCTGCCAACATACAAGTACATGGTTTGAATCCAGGAGAAAGATGGGCAATCTCCTCCTACGTAATTTACTGCCTCTGAAAACTCACTGGAGCATCAGCTAAGGAGTAGTTTCATTAGTTTTTAGTTATTTCATTAGTTACTTGTTTGTACTTCTAACTTCCTTCATAGTCAAATCTTCACACAAAGTAAGCACTCAATAGAATATAAAAAAGAGATTATTTGTAAAGAAGTAACTAAGATTCAGAAACTAAAAGTAGTTGCTTAGAACTGATCAAACATCTGTATACTGAATAATTACTTATCTCTAAGTCACTAAAGAGAGCCTTTAAAGAAAAATGTCAAGGTTCATGTATTATTACACAGACATTTTATTCATAGCAGAAAGCTCAGTGTATTTATTGGAACTGATATTACTAAAGTCAGAATCCTACAACTCAATTCCACTGCTGTGAGTCAATTTCACTTCAAAGTGACCCTGATATGTCCTTCTTACAGGACAGAACCCTCTAATAAAACCCTGTAGACTTAAAGGATTTCAAAGACTGTAAATATTGTATCAAAGCATATTGTCTATCTTTCTATTATGGGTGGTTAGTTGGTTTGAACTGCTCACCTGTGGTTATTAGGCAACTGCTTAATTAATGTGATTCCAGAGCTCCTGAGAATTCCAATATACATGAATCTTGTAGCCTTTTTCTAAATGTATTATGTAATGACACGATGGGTGTGTCAGAGGCAGTGCGGTTGGCGCAAGATAGAGCAGGGTTTAGGGCTGTTGTGCATAGGGTCGCTATGAGTTGGAACCAACTCGACGGCACATAACAACAACAACAACAACAACATTATGTAATGTGTATAGCTATTGTGTAAATGTGTTCCTCCGTTAAATTAGAATCTGAGTGTAGAAACAGTTCCTTATTCTCCCCATAAACACCTTAGTCATAATGCAGACTTTTTTTTTTTAAAGAAGTAAACATTACAAACTCTTTATACCTAGGAGGTAAACCCCAACAATGGCATAAAGTAGTTGGAGCTCAGCAGCTGCATAAAAAACGGAAACTATGCAATGACTTTACTACAAACTCAGTTATTTTAGTATGTATTATGCTCCCCTACCCTGTTTTTAAGCAAAGGGACTGCTAAGAGAATGAACAGGTTTGTCTGGGAGAGGATGAAACGAGGCTGCTCCTTGGAGGCAAGGATTCTGAAATTTTGTCTGACATACTTTAGACACACAGCAAGAAGGGACCAGTCCTTGGAGAGGGACGTCATGCTTGGGAGGGTGGAGGGACAGCGCAAGAGAGGAAGACCCTCGATGAGATGGATTGACTGGGGTAGTGGGGGTAGGTGTGTCAGAGACAATAATTAGCACAGAATAGACCAGGGTTTAGGGCTTTTTGTACAGAGGGTCGCTACGAGTCATAGGTGACTCAATGGCACATAACAACGACAAAAACAACACATTCTTAAAACTATGAAAGCAGTACTTCAAGTCCATTTGCTAATACCAAAAGAATAATTGCAACTTTCACCAAGAGTGTGTGCGTAAGTTCAAATTTAGAAATTAACAACATTAACTTTTCCTCCATGTTCATTTAGTTACTGTTCAGGAAAGAAATAGAAGGTAGGCATAAAATAGCTCTTGGCTCCAGAATTCCAACTACTGGAAGTAATATTAAATATTAAAGACAATGACACCATCACAAAATAACAATTTCGCCTTTGGTGATATCGGCAAAATAATTCGGTATATTATTTAACTAATTAATTACAGAACACAATTTGTACTAGTTTACAACTGAGTTTCTCCATTCATAAAGTTTTCTTTTTTAATCATAGCAATGGGTAAAAAAAGGCCACAAAGTAGTAAGAACACCTAATAAACACTGTGATTTGGTGCAAGGGGGAGAAAAGAAAGGCACTCTTAGGCAAAATCAAGATACAAAGTACTGAAAGTGCTCAATGTATTCAGTTTTATAGTTTCAAAGAAAATATTTAAAAAATATTCCTATCATTCCTTTTCCCCCAGTTGTTACAAAATTTAAAAACTCTACCTCCTAAATCCTTTTTCCTACTAATGAGAAAAGTATAAAATACATCATGTCATGCAGATTTTCAGAACCCTGAGGTTCCATTAGCTTTATTCCTAAAGTAATTTGGAACTAAACCTACTTTTACTATAAAAGAGTAAAAAAGACCTATAACAGAATATCTAGTAAGGAAGTAATTTTCATCACTTTTTAAGTAGAAAAATAAACTGAGCAACATATAAAAAACAAGGAAAGAGGCTGATCTTTGGAAAATACCTCAAATAATCTATCTTTTGAGTCTTTAAACTTTTCAAAGATAAAAATAGATTGACTAATGAATTTTTATGACTGAAAAAAAAAACCCCACCAAAACACCAACCATGGACTGTCAGGAGAACAAATAGTTTTGTCCTGAAGAAGGTGAAACCAGGCAGTTTCTTGGAGGCAAGGATTCTGAGGCTTCATCTGACATTGGGCATGTTGTAAAGAGAGAAAAGTCCTTGGAGAGCAGCATCATCCTTAGGAGGGTGTAAGGACAGCACAAGAGAGGAAGATCCTTGATGAGATGGATTGACTTGGTGATGATGGATGGTGAAGAGACTGAAATTGTCAACCACTTCAGTTTACTCGGCTCTACAAGCAACACTCTTGGTACCAGCAGCCAGGAAATTGAAAGACGAATTATACTGAATCGGCTGTCAGAGACCTCTCCAAAGTAGTGAAGAGCAATGAGGTCAGTCTGGAGACTAAGGTGCGCCTGATACAGGCCATGGTCTTTGTAATTGCTTGCTATACACATCAGAGAGCTGAACAATGACTAGGGATGATAAAAGGAGAGTTGATGCCTTTGAGCTGTGGTGCTGGAGAAGACTAATGAATATACCATGGAATGCTAGGAGAACAAACAAGTTTGTCGTGGAGAGGGTGAAGCCAGGCTGCTCCTTGGAGGCAATGATTCTGAAGTTCTGTGTGATATACTTTGTACATGTTGCAAAGCAGGATCAGTTCTTAAAGAAGGACTTCAATGCTTGGGAGATGGAGGAACAGCACAGGAGAGAAAGACTCCTGATGAGATGGACTGATTCAGTCACTGGGGTAATGGGGATAAGTGTGTCGGAAACATTAAGATTGGCACAGGATAGAGGAAGGTTTAGGGCTGTGGTACATAGGGTTGCTGTGAGCCACAAACGACTTGACAGCACTTAACAACAACAACATTTAGCATATACATATTAAAGATTTATGAGGAATGTATAAAATCAAATAAAAATGACTTTGCTTTCTCATGTTTTTCATACCCATATCATTGTATTTGTGTTCAAAAGTTATTCAAATGACAACATAGCATTTTCAGTTATACAAGCCAAAAATTACCTTAAAGTTATTTTCCTTTGGTTTCCTCCTCATTATTATATTGAAAGTTTCATAAACATCTTCTGCTCCATTTTGTATAGTATTGGTCAGATCCTGCTGATACTGGTTTGGATCCAAAAATACTCTAAATGTCCTTGATTCTCCTCTAAGATTGGGTCTGGGTTCTGGTCCTAGAGGTTTTGTAAAAACATGTCAAATGAATCAGGAAATCTTTTATGAATAAACTAGTTACTCCCCATTTACTAGAGTGTCTTCTTGCCTAGGCCATTTTAAATCTGTAGTAGTATTCCCTTCCTAATTTCTTCATTGACTGCTCTGAACTGTAATTCTGATCCATCCTTAACAAAAATTCTTAAAAATCAAAGATCTTATCTTTATTTCACTCATTCACTCATAACTTTACATACTGTAAATACTCAGTAAATACTTTCTAGTTAAATAAGTATATGGAACTTGTCTCTACGCATTCTCTCCTTTTTTTTTCTTGGGCTTTCAATCTGGATTCCTTTATGCAGCCATATGTGTATTCAGGTTACCTGACATTTCTTTCTCTTATTTTATTCTAGTCACAAGTAGTCTAATTATGAGTAGTTTAACAATGGTTTAATTTTTAAATAGTTAGAAGCTGATCAGTTTCGAGTACAGCTTAGCAAGTGAAAAAGATAAGTCACAGAACATGCTGTTGCTCTTACTGTTGCATAGCCATCAATTTGGAACCAACTCACAGCTGACCTTTCAGTGGGTTTTCAGAAGCTGTAGATAATAAGGGATGAGACTGACAGCCCATCTATCTCCCACAGTGTAGTTGGTGGATCTGAACTGTCTCTGGGTTGGCAGTGCAACTTCTTACTACTTACTAGACCACCAGGGTTGTAGTTATAAATTTGTAAGAAGTATTGCAAACAAAGTCAGGGCAACACATGAAAGAATTTTAAAAGGATAATTAGTGATAAGAGTAAGAAATCAAAGAACTGGCTAAGCTTGCTAAGGAGGTGTTTCTAAATGGGGCAATCTTCGGCAGGATAATTCCTTCCATATGGTCCTTTGTAACAGGATATTAGCATGCTTAGCCCTCACTAACCAAATGCCAATAACTTACCACTCCTACTCCTATCCCAGTTCCTCAATTGCTGAAATAAATCATACATTTCCAAGTATAGGAAAGTAAATGGCTACCGGCTGAGAGCTTATGCTACTATAAATTAAATCTAAAATTTAAGAAAGACAGACTAGGCAAATACATCTGTAAGCACATAAAAGCCTGAAAAAAAAATTAAGATGCATTTGAATGATTGTTTTAAAAGCAGTAATAGGAAGTGTTATATACAAGTTTTGAATAAGCATGACTTTAAAAGACCATATATCCTTTTTAATATTTCACAAAGCAGCTCTGGGATCATGTTACCTATTTTGAAAGTAAGATGGTTAAGCACTATATATATCTATATATATAAACACACAGAGTACATAATCTTTTGCATCTATTTACTATATGAATTAACTGTTAAAAATTATCTAAAGATGTAAAAAAAACAGAAAAAGAAAAAAATTATCTTTCTGTACAAATATGCTTTCAGAAATATAAATCACCATACCATCTTCAATGACACGTCCTTTATCATCCAGCATGCCCTGAATTTCACAGCCTCTGACATAAACCAGGCCAATCTGCTCGATAAAATGTCTGCTCCGGTCAAACTTAGTGCCGTAAGGTTTTGTAGGACGCACGGTAACTAAAAAGCACACATCATGCTTACGAAGACCTGGAAAAGTATGAAGATATTGACATTCACCAGAATTTCTTTCTTGTTGCCATTAGTAGCAAATTTTGCAAGAGATAAAATTTTTTTAAAATATTAGTGGTTATTAATAATTACATCATTTACCAGTATCTTTGTGAAATATTTTATTAACCATAGTATGCTACAGACATAATTTAAATTTAAGCAATCATATCGTAGAAACAAGATACAGAATGAAATCCAATTAAGTCACGAGCATGTAACTGAAAGTATAGGTGTCACTATAATCAAAGTGCTTTCATTTGGCGTGAACTTCAAGTGTGGGTGGTAAAACTAGAAATCATAATGTTGATTCCTCATGTTTTCATTATTCTTTATTTTAAAATAAATTCTGTGCAATGAGAAGAGAAACAGTTCTAAGTACTTTGCACAGCTTGCATCATTTTTGATCCACACAAACTATTAATGAAAAGCTTACCCCTGGAAAGTCATTTATTCCCACTCAAAAAAGGACTCACTCATTGGCATCACTGAAGGATGACTACCTCCTCTCTCTTAAATCATTTTATTGTCATATAAATAGAGCTACATTAAAAAGAGCTATCTTATACTGAACTCATTCACTTTCCTCCTTTTAATCATCTATATTCACCTGACCTAGCTATGCCTTTTGGAGCAGAATGAGACATGTTGGTTTCATTTCTGTTTCCTTAATTCTTAAATGATAGAAATGGAGGGATAAGAATTTGAGTTTCAGCCTTTCTTGAATGGGCTAGAAAGCGTATGTTTTATAATATTTACCAGAAAATCTTATAATATTTAGTTTAAAACTATTCTGGTTTTAAAAGATGACTTTCATACTATTTCTCTTATTATTTTACCACCCATTTTCATTTGCCATCAGTACAGGAACCAAACTTTCACACTAGGTTCTTATAATTATCACTTGTCCTGCAACAGTTCCCGACTTCTAGAAAAATGTTTTAAAAAAAAACAACCCCAAAACTGATGCTCTCCTGATAACAGCTTTCAAAGTGATGATGGAAGGATTTTTATGAAAGAGCCTTCTTATTTCTTGTCATTAATAAATTCTTACAAATGGTCTTATCTTTTTCTTAATGTCTCAATGAGGTTCAGTTGACAATGAGTCAATTATGATCTTATAGTGATTCCAGAGGGCAGAGGAAAACTGCCCCATAGATTTTTAAAAGCTGTATATAAATCTTTACAGAAAGAGATTAAACATATTAAATCAGTAAGAAAGGTATGTTATAGGTATCAATCGGCATATAATACAGATTCCAATATGTCAGATTGGAATGAACTCGTTTGAAAAATAGACAATCAGAGAGCTCTGGTGGCCTAGTGGCAAGAAGCTGCACTGCAATCCCAGAGGTATGCAGTTGGAATCCACCAGATGCTCTGCTGGAGAAGGAGGGACAATTTCCTCCTGTACCAGTCAGATCCAATTTGACACACACACAAAATAATAAAATAAAATAAATTAAATAAAAGAAAAATACACAATCACAATCTAGTCCCCACTCCAGAGACCATTTCTTAAACATGTGGACGGTTTTGTAGATGGATTCTTTCAGAATTCTTTGATAAATATATCATCTGACCCTGTGGTTATAAAGAGCTTTATCAGGAGCAGTAATTTTTGAAAACTGATCCACTAAGGCCTATCCCTTTCCTTCTGGAATGCCAAGAAGGTAGTAGGATATAAAACCTACCAGTTACTGTTTCTCACAGCAGGACAGCAAGCAAGAGCTCTCATAGACAGCTGCGAGAAAAATATAAAAATGCTAATTAAAAACTCATTCATGTGCCACTTCTGGCACATGTGTTATCTATATTACTACTGATTCAGACTTTTAAGCATATTGTGATACAGACCTCCCCTCTATAAATTCTTATCTAATAAAGAAATAGTACCACTGCAATAATTTATTCTTTAATTCATTTGATTTCAGATTCCTTCTCTTTTTTCGTGGTTGTT